GTCAGAGTCCGGAGTCCGCCGCCGCCGGACGGGCGCCGGGCGAGCGTCGGCCCGCTGCCGGTGCGCAGGTCTCTGAGCTCCGGCGGCCGCCTGGCGCGGCTCGTGCGCCGCTTCGAGTCGGGCGAAGAGCCCGTCGACACCGACGAGGAGCGTCGCTCGCCGCCGGTGACGCGGCGGAGGCACAGCCTGGCCGGCGACGGGCTGACGACGCCGGCAGACGTCGATCGTACGTCCGCGCGGGACGGCATCGCATGGAGATCGAGCCGGGGCACGTGCAGGGCGTGAAGAGCACCTTTCTCTCGTCCGTCAAGTCGTCCGCGTCGTTACCAGGACGCTCGCGTCGGAGAGCAACGCCATCGTGCCGGCGGCTGCGCCGGGCGACGCGACGGAGGACACCGAGCAGAGCGGCACGCTTTACATGAAGGTACGCGCCACCACACCGTGCTAACACTGTCGAGCGACGCGCTCGCGCAGCAGCCCGCTCCTGGGGCGCCGCTGGCCACCTCACCCATCTGCCGCGTCCAGGTGGGCGGCGCGCGCGTCCGGGGAGGACTCGGTCACGTCATCCGGCAGCGGGCAGGACAGCGGCGGCGACGTGCTTCGCGACATCCAGAAGAACCTGGCCGAGGTGGCGGCGCGCCGGCGCCGCCGCGTCCCGCAGACGCCGCCGCCGGCGTCGAGGAGCAGCGTCAACTGCAGCGGCTGACCAGGGCCGCCAGGGCCGTCCCGTCGCTGGCGGACGCGATGATGCGCGGACGGGCGCCCCCGTCACCGCGGGCGCCGAGGTCACGGCTGACACTGCGCCCTGGAGAAGCCCGGCGGCGTCCAGGAAGAGACACCGCTCGCAGCCGGCGCCGCCGGAGCCTCCAGCCCCGCGCGAAGCGCTTCCGCCGGCGGCGGTCGCCCCGCCCGAGCCGCCTCGCCGCTGCCGCCAGCCGGCCGGCTCGCCGCCGCCGCCGCCGGCCGTCTGGCAGGCTCCAGCGACGGCCGGCCCTCCTCCGCCGCCCGCCGCCACCGGAGCGGCGCGGCTCGCTGGGCCGGTCCGAGCCCCGGCCGCGCTCCAACTCGGTGCCGGGGCTGGCGCAGCCTGCCGAGGCCCCGGAACTGGAGAGGCCTGAGAGCGTGTGGGACTACACCGAAGACGGCGGCTGGAGGCGCGGCCGCTGGGCCAGCACGCACAGCGTTCGCTCCCAGGAGCCGGAGGACTGCGTTGACACGCTCAGGTCGGAAACTGACACGCTCAGGTCAAAGCCTGCCACGCTCAGGTCATGGCCTGTCACGCTCAGGTCAGAGACTGTTACACTCAGGTCAGACTGTCACACTCAGGTCAGAGACTGTCACGCTCAGGTCAGAAACTGTCACGCTCAGGTCAGGCGGAATGAGAGGTTGCTGTTGTGTGCTCATACACAGTTCACTGTTCTCAAGTCGTGCGTGAAGAGATGCGTTCTGGGAGTAGATAGCGGGAGAAAACCCTCATGTCACGGCCGGAGGTAGTTACCAACTGTAACCAACGTGATCAGGTTACCCATCACCCGCCTCAGATTCGTCAGTATCACCGCCGCAATTTCAGTAAAGGGACAAATGGACAGTTTTTCCTCACTGATGCCGATAGTCCGTGCCCTGTACGCCGTGGTAAGCCTCTCCCAGCGCCGTACTTCAGGTACTGGTACCTCTGACCGCGGCGCCTGCTCCAGGTACTGGTACCTCTGACCGCGGTGCCTGCTCCAGGTACTGGTACCCGGAGGCTTTCGTTCGACGCCGCAGCCGCGAGTCGTCGCGCAGTCGCGAGCGCCTACCGGACTGGGACG